TTTACAAACTTTTTATCGTTCACGGATGGAAAAGTATAGTACAGATGCAAACATGAGACAGTGTTTCGACGGAGTTTTAGTACACGGTAATACAAATCTGAATATTTTTCATTATTCTTATTTTCTTCGTGAGAGAATTTAATTTTACAGCATACTATAAAGTGATTCATCCCCGGGATGCGTCAGCGTATCAGAAAAATATTTCTTTTGATGTTAACCACCATGACGAATATCCATGACCCATAAATACTCTTAGGGAGATATGTTTACGTTTTTCTTTGCCATTATTTATTCATAAATTGAGGTTCTATTGATCTAATGATATGAGAGTAAAAATAAGTCATATTTTTATTTTCTTCCGTTCTTCGAGATAAATTGTAGAAATGAATTTTGTGAAAAGATAATTCATTTATAAATTGTTGAATAAAATCTCCCTATCATTAATGCGTCGAAAAAAAATGCTATTATCGGAAGTGAACACGATACCGACCATGTGAGAACGCATCAAACGGATCAAAATAATGTGTATTCGTGTCCTAGTCAAGATGGAACGCAATGCTTCTCGCTCGATCTCAATAGGCAAACGTAAAACTTGATTCCCAATGCACTTTACTATCATTAGATGCACGTGCTTCGCTTTCATTCACCTTGAGTTTCTCCCGCCAAATTCCCAACACCGCTGGTAAACCGTCCATGTGATTGGCTGATGTTTGCGTGTGGCTCGTCACTGATTGGCCGGTATTTCCTCCCGTATGTAACCGAGTGCAAGGCCGAAGGGAACCGAAGCCCAGGTCAGGGTACACGAGCGACGTCTTCGGCAGTTCGAACGAGAAGCTTGCGCAGTGGAGATCGTTCGGTCTCTATTAACGATATCAACATGGCTGTTTATACGTTCGTGCAGCCGCTATTTTCAAATCGCGATTCATACATTACTTTAAATCGTATCATCCTCGTGTTCCTTCTATATTTGTTTCTAACAACAGGTATCGATCAAATTTTTTTTTTTGGAAATTTCTTTTTTATTTATACGAATATCGCGACTTCCTCGATACGTATGTATTAGTTCTGTATACACAGTTGGAAAACAGGATGTAGTTTATTCGTGTTCCTCCACTTTCGTGTTTGTGTATAAATGGAAGTACATGTATACAGACGGTGACCGTTGCACGATTGTGTCAGTGACTGGAACGATGTCTATTCATTTACTTGTCACATGCAGTTCTCTCATTGGTGTATAGTCTATCTCCTCGTTGCCTTGTCATCCTTCCCTACTTCAGAATCTACTTTGTACTCCGTTCATAAAATTAACATGATGTTTATTTCCTGTATAACGGCACAAAAGTCGGAAGGAATGATTTCCGAACATTTCTTTGTAAAGATTAAAAAGATTCAGATTAACGTTAAGTGGAATGTGTCATTACTAATTGACAGGTGGCATGAAATTATGGAAAAGTGTTCGATATTGCGTTAATAAAAGAAAAATGTAGAACGTTGTTCTTTTGATAAAAGTTTGACTTATCGCGTGTGCTTCCACGCATAACATTGCGTAAATACTATATATGTTATGACATTTTAAAAATATTGCTTGTTATTATCAAGATAAGCGAAAATTATTATGTGAATGTACAAAATATAGTATTTTATTGATGGATATCTAATTTAATAACATTACATAGAAAGTGAGATATAAAATATTTCTTATAAATCGATTAAATTATTTTTAATGTATTAACGTTAAATCTTAAGTACTTTTAAGATAATATAAAGTACTATATTGATATTAAATCTTAGTACACTCAAGATAATATAATTGTTGTGATATTGAATGATTAAAAGAAATTTGATCTTTCTTTTTTGCAGGAGGAACAAGTACTCCTTTAACTAATCATTATGTGAATGATGCAAATTATTATGAAATCTCAAGCAATGATGACAATTCAAGTCCCTTGGAGAAATTTTACTTAATTACTGGACAAAGGTGGCACACAGATACTGTGCTACCTATTCCTTTATTGCCATCTACAGAGGGAATGTCTGCTCGATCTCATCACAGGTAAATGTTTAGACTTCTTATTTGATGTATATATTTATCAATTTATAGAGATATCATTAATTTATATAGAAATGAATTTGATATCAATTTAAGATATCAACTTTTTATACATAGGATCCCACAGTCCATAACGGGACTGGATGATGCTGGAATGGATTTGCAAGCAGCTCAACTCAGTACCCGCACAGGACAGGAGGTACGTTCCACTGCAACCTTATCATGGCTAGACTGGCAATTGCCCCTGTTTGTAGCAGTTTGCGCCATCGGTGGCGTCATTCTCTTTACATTTCTGGTAAGATTTTTCTCAAATTTCATTTTCGCGTTATCCAATATATTTATCTGAATAAGATATTTACTTCAAATTCTATTTATAGATTTTGTTATGGCTGCGGAAACAAATGTCGCGTGAAAAAGATACCGAAGATGGTGATAGGAGAGGTTTGGTAGAAGAAGGTGCTGTAGGTCACCCGGAAAAATCTGTAAAACCTTCAAAAGGATCGATTGAATGGGTTCATCAACCCGCAACGAAATCATCAATACAATCTGTTCCTACTCGACCTCTTACGCAACCCATTGGTTTACCAGAAGTATGATTATTAACTGATGAAAATGATACAATTATTTATTGAAATAATGATTATAGAATTAATTTTTATTTATTTTATTAGGTAATGTCAGTAGCGACTCCAGAACGCAGACCGGAACCGATACGCATAAGGACTAAAGGATTGTTAGAACGACGTGGATCAAGCGCAAGTTTGACTATAGAATTAGCACCACCTCCGGAAAGTCCACCTCATATTGTTACACCTACTCGTGAATGTACTGCAGAGGAATTTCTATTAAGCGCTGGAAACGTTTTATCAAGAGCTCAACTTAGAAAGGCAATCAGTGACACGGCATCGTTACATAAAGAATTTTGGGAAGTTCCTCTTAATTTACCCGAGAAATTAGATATATGTGGATCTGGGGTGAAGAATAGATATTGTTCCGTATTACCAAATCCACAATCAAGAGTGATTTTACCGGGTCCTTCTGATGATCCTCTTTCGAGTTATATTAATGCCAATTATATTCGGGTATGTTTAAGAGGAAAAGAACTAAAAAATTAAAAATTTCGCATTATTATCTTTATCCTATCTAAATATTTTAATCTAACAGGGATATGATGGAGAAGATGCACGCTATATTGCAACACAGGGACCATTAGCTCACACTGTGGATGATTTTTGGAAAATGGTCTGGGCAGAAAAAGTACCCGCGATAGTTATGATGACGAAATTACATGAAGCCGCCAAAACAAAATGCGAAGCATATTTTCCATTGGATAAAAATAATCGCATACAGGCTGGACTCTTTACAATTATTGTTACTTCTATTGATACAAGAGAAGGATACACGATTAGAGATTTGGAACTTCGATATGAAGGCGAAAAAAAGCATGTGCAGCATTACTGGTAGTTACATTAAAATCTTTATTCTGTTTAAATCATATAATTAGATTATTTAATATATGATTAATAAACAATTATAGGTATGATTCATGGCCGGACCATGCCGTACCTCAAACAGCGGATACCCTTGTTAGTTTAGCTGCAGAAATAAATTCTTTACCAGGTCCGGTCGTTGTTCATTGCAGTGCTGGAATTGGACGAACTGGCTGTTTCATAGCTTTAGCTACGGGAATGACGCAGTTATTACGAGATGGGAATGTAGATGTATTGGGTATTTTATGCCAAATGAGGTATAAAATATTTATTTGATAAACTAAAATTTATAACTTATTTAAATTTTAATGTCTTAAAATTTTTTTCTAGATATGACAGAGGTGGTATGGTTCAGACAGCAGAACAATATGAATTCGTTCATCGTGCACTTTGTCTGTATGAACAGACACTTGAAGGTGGTAAATCATCAAGTTCAGGTGATTGAAATTACAAACAAAGTGATTATGGGAATTGATAAAAGTTCAGTAGAAGAAAAAGAATTGGTCTTAGAATTATTATATGAAAAGATTTACGAAATGAATATGGTCTGCAACATATTATTAACGTCCGGGTGTGAACATTTGTACTATGGAGGAAATCCTATGAAAAGAATCTCGATTTCAATTCTAGACCAACGGATGTCTTATTCGATCTTCAGCTATTCAAGATGAGTTTTATCTCACTAAATAAGCTGCCATTTCTATACTGCCATGACAAATCGTTGACAATTAATATCAGTCACAAAGCTCAAGATAAAGGTAAATGATTATTGACTCATGTTCTAAAGAGTTCTACATTATTCTTAAACGGAATTAAAACTGTTTGACAAATGGGGAAAAAAAAAAAAAAAAGAAAAAGAAAAAAAGAAAAAAAAAATACTT